CACAAAATAAAGTGGTATGAAATGCAGCTGACCTTGGAAGTAAGCAAACATAAGCCTAACATGCTAACGTTTGCAGCTTACACTTTCCACCATTCCCCCTCATCTAAACCTATTTTAGTCTATTCCTTCAATGTTTAAAGCAACACAATGTATGAATAAAACATAAATAAATCCTAATTAATGATTGTATGCATGTATGAGTCTTCTGTGTACATAAATGTCGATGTTGGGGTGAAGTAACTCGACTTTGTGGCCTTGTATTGCCAACAGGAACAGATCAACGTCGTTGTTCAGCCCAGCGAGCTCCTCGTCAGACAGAGCGGACGTCCAGCTGCAGGGCTACCAAAAAACCTACAGCCACCAACAAGTATTCTCACAGCAGCAAGGTACTGACACTGAGCACACGTCATCATCAGCTTCTCCAAATCAGTGCGACATACGCTGCCTGCTTGTTTTTGGGTGTTGTTCTTGACATTCATTGTTTGCCCTGTGGTTCTCCAAGGATGTGTGTATGGAGAAGGGAAGGTGGTTCAGCCGGTCAGCGATGGAGGCTTTGAACCAGCCAGTTACTTCACAAACACCCCTGCCTCTCACTCTACAGGTAAGACAGCAATAACTAAGAGTAAAGGCGTCCTCATGCTCCAATAAAAGTGCTTGTTTCGTATAACTTTCTGATAGAGACAATCTGGCGTTTAAGCCCACTTTACGTTGTGATTGGCCAGCAAGGAGCCAGGGTTTGAACTTCTCTATCTCTTTTCTATCTTGACACGACTGTTTCTGTCAGTTCTTGTAAGAACAACTAAAGTACGTCACTAAGAACGCCTTACAGGACAAACTGTCTGATAAAGTGCTCCCCATATATCCCCACCTTTGAGTGTGGCCGTTCGGAAAACAACTATAAACACTTTTCATATCATCGTACAAACTTAAGAACCAGACGACATACCCACAAACGTTTAGGATTCATAATGTGGGAGATTTGAATCTGTCTGTGGGTGACACATGGGCTGAAATTGTATTTAGTGTGCAGATTGTGTTTTATAGGCAATTTGGGTGTTGTGAGACAAACATACAAAACCCATGAATCCATGTATGACTGGCTTTATCCATTCTTTGAATGTTATACAACAAGTCTAAGTTGTACTGTGTGCACCTGGTTGCAAAACAAAAAAAAAGACAGATTGATTTATTGATCTCACAAAAAAAGCTAGGTAACTGATTGTGATGATTTAAAAATAGCTGAGAGAAATAACTGCATCCCCACTCTCTCACATGAAATTAAAGTAGCTGCTGTGATATATTAAATATATAAATTTTTCGGTTCTCCTCCTCTCAGGGTTTGACTTGTTGCAGGACCTGCAGGGCCAGGCGGGGGGCGGTTACTCCATGTCTCCCTGCTCAGACGACAGCTTCCTCTTCCAGGCGGGAGGCGTCGACCGCTGCCTCAACCAGATCTATTCCATCTACCTGGACTCATGATACCAAAAGAAAAGTGGAATCAGAATCACTGCTACGGACAAAAGGCAGCAAATACGATGTGTGGTGGCAGACAATCACAACAATAATATAATGTATATTCAAAGAGACAAATATGCCAGTGGAAGTTTTAATGGTACAACCAAAGTGCAAAATTGCACGAACATGAACTGCCAAAGAGGAAATCTGGTCAAATTATGAATGTAAATAGCAGTGACTTTATTATTCAGAGATGACCACAGCATTTGTGATCTGGATAGAATGAGCTATGAGCTAGTTTGAGCTATTTGGAAAGTCATGTAACTGGTTCTCTGGCTCTGCCACGGATGTTAAACTCAACCAGTGAGTGTCATTCTTCATCCACAGCAGCTTCGCCTACAGGAAATGTTAAAACAATATCTGTCAGAGTGGGATCTTATGATGTAGTGGTTCCCAACATGGACAGATAAATCTGTCGGGCTCGAAAGATGATTAAGAAGATACCAAAGACCAAAACAACACAGTTCTACTTCACAAAATCTATACATTTCTGTTTGACTTTTCTCTAATTGTTGCTTTTTTTGTGTGAAATACCAGATCGTTTTTTTCTTCTTTGGGCAAGTAGCATCATTTTAAGGTGTCACAAGCCAAAAAGGGTTGGGAACCATTCTGTTGTAATGGATGACGAGTTACATCAAGCAGTCCAAGCAATAGAGCAGGGAATAATTTTACATTTTTGGAGACGTGTTTATTGTTTTAATGCCGAGAGTTAGATGAGAACTTCGCTCCTACTGAAAATGTAGCTACAGCCAAGAGAGAGTTTAGCTTAGCATACAGGAGGAAACAGCTAGTCTGGCTCTGTCTAAAGGCAATAAAGTTCACCAACCAGTAACTCTAAACCTCAATTAACACGATATATCTCTAATCTGTACAAAAACTATGTGTAAAAACACAGAGGTTTATGTGCAGGACTATTTCTTGATTACACAACTGTTAAACAACAGCATAAAAGACAATTACATATAAATTCATCAATTAGGGGAAAAAAAGTTTAGTAAAAAAGTTACACAAACAAACAGCCAGTAAAAATACTAACATAAAATTTGACATTAACATAACTGATTTGTACAAACAAACAGGTCTAGTTTCAGATAAAAAGGCAAGTCTATAAATATGTTTTGAGAAAGATTTAAAAGCTGAGACAGTGCCAGCAGACCGAATACAAGAACCAAGGCGCCAGTACAGCAAAAGCTCGATCACCCTTTGACCTTAACGTGGACTCTGGAACAGCAACATGGCCCAAACCAGCAAGTCTTTTGGGACAGTAAGGAGTTAAAAGTTCACTAATGTGCCCTGGCAGCCTTGTAATGCCCTTTGAGTAGTGATTTTAAAAATGGATTCTCAAAGAAATATCCAGAACAAAGAGGCTAAAACTGAGGTGTCGTGCGAGGTACGTTTTATCTGAGCCATGAGTCTGGCAGCTGGGGTGGTATCGATATTCTCATCCAACTCTCTGCAAGAAAGCAAATAAGTGTGTTTACCCGTGTGTCCAACTATTCCTCGAAGGTTGTTTATCAGCAGCCAAATTACATCGCAACCAAAGTGTCATTGAGAAACCTCCAACTGCTTGTTAATGTACATTTATCAGCTGCACGCGAGGTAGCTGCAGTAAAACTGGAGCAGTGCTGCCACCAAGGGTCTGACCGACTGTAAATAAACACACAGTCTGTGGCACAGAGCGGATCGACGTGGATGAGTCCTGGGACGAATAAACTGACACAGAAAACCAAACAACTGCACTAAAATGTATCGTCAGAGGTGCCAACGGTTAAGTTTCAATATGTGTAATGTAACAACGATCAAGGCAGTAGCATAATCTCTTTTTTTTATATTGTTTTCTTTTGTTGCTTCAGCACAGTGCCTTTACATGTCTGTTGTATAGTTTTCTATCAGTGTTATATTCAGAGAGGGAGGTGTGCATTGTTTACAGCAAGTTCTCTGCACTCTTTTCTGTCTCATCACAGAGACTTTAAGAAAATGACCAACCAGAAAATGTTTACACTGATTTTGTAGCAGTTCAGAGTTTTCTTATCGTTGTCATTGAACAGTGTATATAGACTGTATAAAATGCACTTGTCTTTTATATCTAAATAAAAACAAAAATCTGTTTTTATATGTTTGTTTTTTTGGTAGTTTTAGGGCACATTTTCTGGATGAATCAGTTAATTGTTGTAGAAAATTTCACATTATAATTCCCCAGAGGCCCAGATGACATCCTCAAAGTCCATGTTTTAACAGAGAAAACCAAAAATATTTACTTTATTATCAAATATGACAAAGAAATGCAGAGAATCCTGCTTTTTTTCTCTTTATTTGACAGCTGAGAGGCGGAGAGGAGTAAATCTATGCTTAAGGTATGCTTTTAACTTGTTGAATGCTGGTCAATACCGCCATCTATTGGTCATAGATGTAGAACAACAGCAGAGGTACAAAGAGGCTATTTTAATATAAAGTCAAGGTAATTTTTCCTTTCTGAATTTTAAGAGATTTAAAATGTAATTAGTAAACAGTTACTAAGTTCAGTAATAGCCCAAAGAAATAGGATTATAATATTCCTATGATCAGTGACTGTTACGTTGCTGCAGGTGAGTTTTGGCTGCTTTTGATTTAAACATTAGTTATTAAGACTTATTATAATCGCTGACATTTATTTCCTAATGATTTTAATTAGAAATCCTATTGAAGTTCAACTTTATTAATCATTTGTTTTCTTTTTTAAAAACATCAAATCAAAATATAAAAGTATCTGGATGCATACAACAAAAATATACAGATCTATACATGAATATACATGGATAAACAAATAATTTAAGTATCTACCAGAAACTTAAACTCTTAATAGATAACCATACTCTAAAATACTTTATAAACTATCAGTAGGTGGACTTTCAAAATAAAGTGGAACTAAAAATTGTAATCTAAAAGTAACTAAAGCTGTCAAATAAATCTGCATGAATTTACTTCTGAGATGGAGAAATTGCAAAAAAATGAAAATACTCAAGTAAAGTACAAATACTACTACTCAATTACAGTGATTCAATTACAGTTTTTTGGACAATATATTTATTGGATTTTCAAATTTTTCCACAATTATTGCACAAACATTTAGGCTACATAAACACAACAAAACAAAACATAAAAAGAAAACAATAAAAAGAAAAAAAGCTCAGTTAAATGTATCAGTGTAGTTACTTTCCACCACTGATAAATAAACCTACAAACTCTTTAGAGAGTTGGGTGAGAAGCTTATTTCAGCCACCTGGGGGCGCTCTGCGGCCACATCCCTGCAGCAGGCCAGTTAAACTTTATACTGAACTCAGAGAGGCTCAAATCTGTCAGCTACAGTCGCAGATAAACGCACTGAACACTGTGTATAAATAAACACCATTAACACCCCCCCCCCCACACCACACACACACACACACACACACACACACACACACTGTCTGGAAGCTGTATTTCCACATTCCGCCCGGACGGAGACACACCCTCAGATCCGGAGGAGGAGAGCTTTAACCGGGACAGTTGATGGGATGCAGAGAGGAGAAAGACACCGCTGCTGCCGTTGTGGGTGTCAGGTCTCCTCTGACAGAGAGCAGCAGCAGGGATGCCCATCACAGGTAGGAAAACACACATCTGAAAACAGGTGTGCATTCATATTTTTAAACGTTTATCTGTATGTTTGTACTCATTCACACGGGTTCTGCAGTTGTGGTGGGTTATAAGTTGAAATTGTGTTATTATCGGTGTGTTTTGTTCAGAGTTGTAGCCATACTGAATAATATAGAGGCTATGGGCCCCCCAGTGCAGCACCAGCCCCTCCTCAGAAAATGTGACCAGACAGCTAAGAGAGCATACAATTATCTTATCAACTGGATTTTTATACATTTTATTTCTTCTTTCAAGTCTAAGTTTATGTTCTGTAAAGTTTATTTCAGAACTTGCTGCTTAACAGGTGCAAAATCCTGACTTATTTGTGTGTTCTTTACCTTAAATTAGTACGTTTTAATGCTATTAAGTATATAAAATAAGAGAATCAGCCTTTAAGACATGACAACTTTCCACTTTTTGGGACACTTGGATACATCAGTGGTCCTGCAGCTGCAGCTCTGGTTTAATGTAGGAATATTTTATGATGAGAGTTGTATGAAAGGAGAATGGAGACCGTTATTACAGAGGAAGCTCTGCTGCCAGGGAGGATGTAGCAACTCACATTGTTAGTGAGTGAGATCATCCATGTTCTCCAGACTAAAACCTTGCTCCTCTCGCTGGGCACTCACACCCAGAGAGGAGACGGTCCATGAAAATCTGTCTGTTTGGATGAAGGGCCTTCACTCTCACAGCTTTGGCTCGGAGCCTCTGCAAACGGCTGCCAGTGTCTCTTGTCTTGTGTGTGTGTAGTTAAAAAAAAAAAAAAAAAATTCAAAGATTAACTCATCTGTCAATATTTAGACTTTAACCGTTAGACTGTGTTTGTTATCAGGCTGAGATGGGAGTTTGACTCTTTAAGTTATCTTAACTGGTGAATGCATGGGATTAGAAACACATACAAAAGGTCTGACTTCATCCTAACTTTGCTCCTACAAAGTTGTGAACATTTTTGAGCCCAAGTATCCAAATCTAAGCAAATTATTACCAACACGCAACCTCACATATTTTCCTTTTCCTCTTCAGAGGGGTTGAGCTTTGAATGTATCGTCTGTTGATAGCTATCAGTTAGAACAAAAGCTTCTTCAAAGTGCAGTGCAGCATGCAAATAATTACAGAGTTAAAGGATATAAAATGCTCTGTACTATCAATAAATACAGAGCATTACAGGGGGGTCAGTTCATAGTTTGAGATTAAAGTTATGAAGAAGTAAACTAAGTTAAATTCTTTCATGTTTTTATCACACATTCAGTGATTGTTAAGGCTGCTTTATAAATACATTTCACCCAACATGACCTCCCTTGAGAACAAACATGGCCTTTCTTTATCTATTTTCCAGAGGATTTCTGAATAAATCACTGCTTTATAAGTAACCAAACAGCATCACAGAAGGAATAAAGTTTGGTTTTGGTTCACTCTCGCACCTGTTGTGTCATTTCCAGCAGCAGGCAGCTCTAAAAACTGACATTACCTAACTCGACCTGATACCTATCCGGCATCAAACAGCAGACTGACAAAGCTAGCTTTGTGTTTTGTATTCACAGCTTGTTTCTGCTGCCCCCAAGTGGCCAAAAAGTCAGTTATTGCAGCTTTAAGGAACACACTTTACCCCAGGCAACCTTTCAGTCCCTCCAGGAAATTGTCCAATCAGCACACTCTGAGCCATACGTCACAAAACTACTAGCGATTTTTTTTAAATGCCTCAAAACACTGCAACATGCATTGCAAAGTTTTAGAAAAGCTGTTGTTAAATCACACATTTTAGGCCGCAACAATCCCAAAAAAAGCCTGCAAAACCATGGAGGGACTTCCTTTCTTGCATGGAAACATGTAGTTTAGTCTTAAGTCCCTTTAAAAGACATATAATAGGCTACAACGATGTTTAGAATAAACTGTCTCTACTTTCTTCCCCAGGCATGTCACATGATTTCTAAAGGTGGTTTCCCCTCTTTGAATTCAGTCTGTTGCTTCTCACCACCAACTAATGGGCATTTAACTGCAGCTAATGTGGTGAACAGGCCCCCAGTTCTCAGCAAGAAGTTTTGGATTAACTCGTCACTCAGGTTTTCAATGACAGAGTGATTTGTTTTGTACTTGGCTGTCTGTTAATGGACGGCGGAGATCAAATGCTTCCAATCCACGATTTTCTTTTCTGATGTTAATCTACGAGATCCTCGTTTCATGTTGTCGTCACCGTATTGGACTGTGACATTAGATTTCTCTTCATGAGAGAGCTCTGTTCATTGTTCAGCTATGGTGGCTGCTGTCGCTCGTGCCAACCCTCCCAGGTCTTCTGATATTTATTACAAACAAACTGCTGGAAATGTAAACTGTATCACATTCTGTGGCCCGGATTGGAAAGACCTGCCTTCTATGTCATATAGACATATCGCAGTGTGTTGGCTTTAAATATGAGAATTCAAAAAATCTGAGATTATTATTTGGGACAATGTTTCAAGGCAATATAAATAAATATGGGTAACATAATACAGTCTTCTTCATACGTACAATATTTCATCCTTCCATCTACTATACAGATATACACTGCGCTCTCCACATGGTGGATACATTAGATCACTTCTACAAACAACAAAAAGTCAGCTCCAGGCAAAGTTTATTTCCCTTAACACACTTCCTGCATTTGTTTGAGAGACTTGGAGCTCTGCAATCAAGTGAAAATCCACACGTACTCTTCTTATTTCCATGTTTATCGTTTGTTTGGAGCTCCTACTGATTTTTCACATGAAGGTACATTTAATCCAGAAAGGTTTTCTGATATATGCTCAGTCCAGCTCAGCTCACAGACTTTGTGACGCCTTTTTCTAATCTTTTATCTAGCGCCATCATCAGGTCACCTTTTTAACTAATCCAGTACTTTGGACTAATGACAGTACTCAGCTCATTTCCATAAGTAAAAGTATCAATACCACTCTGAAAATACAGCATCAAAATATACTTAAAAGTATCAAGTAGTAAAAGTACTCATTATACAGAATGAGTACTTTTCATCCATCAGAATAATATTTTCATTAGATTATAATGATTAATATATTAATATATTAGAGTACATATCACGCTAATGTTGAAGATGGGACTGATTTTAATTCATTTAATTTAGGGACAGCTGCGTAGCTTAAACTGTCATAATACGTCATATTTTATTTATTTATAATATTGTGTATCGTAGTGTATAGTGTAAAGTACCATACATTGGAAATACCCAAGTACAAGTACCTTACAACTGTACTGTAGTAGGCCACAGTACTCGAGTAAATGTACTTTAGTTACTTTCCACCAGTGTGGCAAATGTTAACGTGCTTACAAGCTAAACTCAGATGGTTAAACGTATAGTGATGGTGAACTTTATACCTGCTGAATGTTCATCATTGAGAGCATGGTTGCATGTCGGCGTTAGCATTTAGCTGAAAGTACCACTGTGCCAATGTACAGCATCTTACATACGTTTTGCATTTAGCAAAAGGAACCCGAGATACGAAACGAGAAAAGAACAGAAGGTCAGGGATGAAGTTGCCAACGAAACAGACATTTTATTACAGTACTACACAGACAGCTAGTATTCAAACAATAAGGAAAGATAAGGAAAGATATTAGCGTGTCTGTTTTCTGAGAGTAACAGACCCCTTTTTATTTCCTCTTGTGTTTTTCACTCTTTCTTTTTGTGGTTGAAGATAGATTGATAGATAACTTTTACGTCAACCTTCAGCAACAGTATCTTCAGGTCAGTGAATTGGTAGAAGCACACTGAGTGTCTCAGACAGCAGCTCTGATTATTTTTAATCAACTGTTTAATTGTTGAGTCCAGCTGACATATTTAAATGTCCTATTTTGTGCAAACCAACAGTCGAGTCCAGTTTTACTTTCATGATCAATTAAACTCCCGTTTATTTTCTTGATAAATCAGTTAATTGTTATAAAATGTCAGAAAACAGTGAAAAATACCCATTATAAATTCCCAGAGCCCAAGACGACATCTTCAAATGTCTTTTTTTTTTGACAGATTATCAACACATTCAGTTTCCTACTAGCAAATATTCACATTATGAGAACCAGTGGATTTTTTTGGCCTGTTTGCTTAAAAAAAAAATCCTTAATTAATCTAACACACAGGTGAAGTGCGGTTTTCATCACGTATACGCTGCAGCTGACGACGCTGGTCCTGTTTAAACCCTCCACTGTATTGAACCGGCCCTGTTGTTGAGGAGTTAGCACATTCCTGCCTCCTCACTGTGGAGCCGCTTTCAGCTCTGTTGTGGTGGGTGAGGAGGACTGATGTCACGACCAAACACGCTCCCTCTCTTGGAAAAAACAGGCCTTGTTTATGTCGACCACATACGCTTTTATGTGCAGGCAGCGTCACCAAGTACATAGGAGCTTTTAGGAAGTCACCAGCAATTAGTTTTTTTTTTAATGTCTCCAACAGCAGCGTTCCCCAAACGTTGTCATGTCACAGCCTCCCAACTAGACACACGGTAGCAATGAAACCTGAAGTTAAAATAGTCATGGAGCTGCATTTTCTATGTGAAATTACAGTGAAATTAAACAGTTTCACATTGTTTCTGGGACGTTCTCAAACCTCGTAATTTACGCTGTATTCCACTGTACACATGCAATAATAAAGCAAAGTCAAGTAAAGTTTGTTCTAGGTCCATCCTACCATTTTTCTACTAATGCATCCATCTATGTATGTAAAATCTCTATGTTAAAAGTATTTCTTTTCATTCTTGAGTTAATTGACTGCAGAAATGTATTTTCTCCAAAAATCCAAGACACACGGCTGCATCAAAGTTACTACAAGGAGTTTTTAACTGGTTATGAAACTCTCCATTTAATACTGATGCCTCATGACCTACATAAACAAACAAACCCATCAGTGAGGAGACTGGCTATTTCTGTATAGTTATTCTTAATGCCAAAAATCGGGTTGGATCGGTGGAATTCCCATGATTCAGACGAAACGAGGGGGTGGAAACGCTTCTGATTGTGTCCACAGGGGCCTGTCCAATTTGTCCCTTGTCAAAGTCGCTCAAATCCTTATGCTTGTCTATTTTTCCTGCTTCTAACATACAATATGAGGACAACATGTTCACTGGCTGCCTAATATATCCTACCCAACCCACTCACAATGAGATAATCAGTTAGATACTGTTATGGCTGATCGGTGTATACTGCATACGTATTTTATTGATTTATGGTTTCCTGTTATCACATTTCTTCTATGTGCTTCTATGTTTTGGTGAAATAAAGACAAATTTACACTCTGTTGACCAATAAAACTGCATTATCTCCTATTCTAATGTATGTATTCAAAGACCTGTCAGTAAATCTGAGAGTGAGCAGGTTGGTTTGAATTCTTTTAGTGGGTTTTGGATCCCTGATTCTGGCTTTAACTCGACTAAGTTTATGTGTGGAGCACAGTGCTTCAGAGAGTGATAAAACAATAAAAGTAAAGTTGAGCAAAGTCATATAGAGTGATATGATATCAAGATATGAGCGTCTGCATAGTGAACAAATACTTGATGCAGGTTTATTAAATGATCTGGTGCATTTTTACATTAGGCTTGAGGAGTTTGCAGTTATATAGAAAACATGCTTGTTGACCGAGGCTCCGGCTTTACCTTCGAGCAATGTTTGTATTATCCCCATCTGCCAATTAACGGCACAGCCTTCACGTGAAAGTCAAAGTAGCATCTGTTTCCTCTCCAACAGCCAAACACTGGACTCCTGATCCCTAGTGACCTGTGTCACCATGCCAACTCCCACGATCCTCACAGCAACCACGAGTCCTCAGAGAAGTTGCTAGGTTTACAAGCCAATTTACATCTGTGCGAGCCTAGATACTGAAAGTGGGTCCCCTCCAGTACTGAGAGAGAGAGAGAGGGACCAGGAGGCAGGTAGGGCTGTCTGAGAAAGAGGTAGAGGACACCTTTGCAATATGGCATGTCACATTTTCTGTTCTATGTTTTACTGTATTTTCTGTTTCAGAGATGGTTTGCCAGCAGGGTGCTCTGCTGATTCTCATGTTGCTGGTGAAGACGGGACTTGTGGGTGGATGTGTGTGTCCAGCAGCCACCATTTTGTCCCAGTCTCCCTCTGAGGTTCCTGCTGACGTCTGTTGCTTGAACTACTCTGGCTCTGCTTTCAGTGCCGTGCTCTGGTCTGTGTTTACCAATGCGACAAACATAGAGACTCTGGATCTCTCCTTCTGTAATATCAGTTCTGTAGATATGAGAGGCAAAGAGGCTTCTACATTGAAGAAGGTTTACTTAGGTCATAATAGACTAACGACGTTGCCAGAGGAGTTTCTGGCCAGCCAGCCCAGCCTGACCGAGGTGGATCTGAGCGGGAACCTGATTCAGGAGCTTCCTGAGGGTTTTCTTCAGGACTCAGACAACCTCCAGAAGCTGTATCTGCAGGGAAACCAGCTACGCATCCTCCCAGGCTCTGTACTTCAGAAGCCCAGCCTGCAAAGGCTGGAGCTGGATGGGAACCCCTGGGATTGCTCCTGTTTGTTACTGGAAGGACTGGAGGAAGGCAGAAAGGTTAATAGGACCACTAAGCTGGAGGATCTGGTGGGAAACCTAACATGCGCGTCTCCCCGGCACCTGGACGGAAGGAGTGTGTTGTCAGTGCGGGTTAGCGATGCGTGCCGCCCAGCTGCCCTCACGGCACTCTTCATTGTGCTCCCTCTTCTCATCCTCTCCGCCTTGGTGCTCTGCTGGTGCTGTGGGAGGAAGAGGAAGAAGAAAGAAGCACCTGTGTGCACCTCAAAGAAGAGGGCTTCCAGCTCCAGCAGCAACGGCCAGAAGCATCGTAAAAAGCAGCAACCTGCGACCACCGGGCAGAGCAAAGCCGTCAGTGAGGGGATCCTGAAGAACGAGCTGCTGCTACGCCCGGCATCCACCCTCCTGGGCAGCACCAGGGACATCTATGAAGAGGTCGAGATTAAGCTGGGCTCAGTGGAGTCTCTTCCTCAAGCCTCCTCAGGCTGTTCCAGCTCCACAGACGGGAAGCTGGGCTCCCAGGGGCCGGACGGGGCCAGCAAGGCAGAGCTGGACACAGTCAGCGTGACAGAAGTGATGAAAGACTCAGCTGACAGGGAGAAGGCTTACATGACCCAGTCCACTGAATACTACAGCCTGGTGCCGGGTATCGAACTGGAGGACTCAGACCACGGCGAGTATGAGAATATCAACCTCTCGTGACACCATCTTAAAGGAATAGTTCAACATTTTGGAAGTTACGCTTTTGTTTTCTTTATGAGAATCAGATGAGTAGATCTGCACGACTCACATGTTAGTCTATGTCTATTTTGTACTCTCACAGCTGAGGTTAAATAGAAGTGGTTGGTGCAACACAACTACTAAGCTTCCTTCAGTTTAGGCTCCCCGTTCAAAGGTCAGCAGTACCAATGGGGCTGTACCCAACTTCTTGCCAATCGAATCGGATTTAGTTGTTAAATACACATTTTTTTTCAGTGCCACTCTAAACTCCGGGCAGCTACATATTTTAGCCTACCTCACGTTTTAATATCTTCATCATCATCTGTCACACAGTCGGACAAAATGAAAGTGTGCGTCCTGCTTATAGTTAGTTATAAAATCTCAGTGCACCACGTAGTATCCATCTCTTATGCCAGGCTGCTGTAGCACTCGCAGAGGACGACAGGAGAGGAGGTTACACAACCGCCTGGCTCAAAAGTGGTTTAGCCAACTTCACTAACAGTCAGTGCCCCGTCGTCCAGCTTCACGCTGTCTAACCATCACTCTTCTCTGCTTCCATCACAGTTAGTTTTCTGGTTTGTGGTTTTTTTTTGGACTCTGTTAGTTTACAACCTGCCATGTGGACAATGGGGCAGCTAAAAAGCAAAGGTGCAAGAGATTCGACTGACAAACTGCGTGCTGGTGCCAAACTGAATAGGCGTGAAAGATTTTTGGAATTCCGTTTAAAATAACAGATTTTGCCATGAAATTACACAGTTTTAATCACTGGTGTGACCATGCCTTTAGAGGTGTTTGCAGGCAGACTTTTAACATCAAGAGCCAGTGTAGCTGTTTTTTTTCTGCTTCAAATGTTTATGCTAAGCTAAGCTAATCACCTCCTGGCTTCATATGTAATGTTGTATCTATCTTCTTGTCTAACTCTCGTAAAAGAAAGCGGCAAAGCGTATTTCCCAACATGTCAAGTTATTCCTTTAAATGCACTAAAGAGAGACAGTGTATGTGTGTTATCTATTGACATAGAGACAGCCTGGTCCGACCGCTGTGGTATCACAATGTAAGAGGAAGTGATTTAATCCGCCGCTTTTCCTGTGGGACCTGAGGAACGCAGTGACGGTTTGAAAGGGAGGCCCCCTTTTTTCTCTCTGGAAAAAACTAGTAATTTTAAAGACACAAAAGACATTTATTCTATTTAATGTTGCACTCCATGCAAATATACTCTTCACTTTGTTTTCACATCTTTTTACAAAGAGACATATTTTTAATCACTGTGTTTATACGTCAAGCAAGCTCTTGTATGTGCTTTCTTTTACCTCACCCAAGTGTAATTGTTAAATGCAATCCAGTTTGACTTGCATACAGGATGTTCTGGATCAGACTCCTTCACCTAAAGCTGCACATCCAGAAACGTAGGTGCTGAACAATGACTAATCCCATCGCAATGCTCACAGTTAATTCAATGTGAAATGTGGAATGTAAAGCTTAGATGAGAAGTCTAAATTTATGTATGTCATTGTTAAGCAAGGATTAAAGGACAGTTGCTTCCTCGTGTTTCATGCCACATACTAAAATGTGCATATTGTTTGGAAAATGCCAGGACGGTCACATTCTAAATGCTGGTTAATGCTGGTTTAAGATAAAAATCTTGCGTAGTGCCAGTTCAGTAAACTGAGATGCAGAGCGTTTTCTGTGCAGCCGTGCTACGACATAATGACACTGGAGAGGAGACCTACACAAAAGACAACACTGAACATCAGGGTCATCGTGGAGGTGCAGGATGCAGACACTTGATTGTTATCTAAGATGTGGAAAACAGACGTCTCACTCTCACACAAGCTGGCTGTGAATGCTAATTATTGTTCGGTGAGAGAGACACAGAGAAAGTGGGTGCAGCTACGGGTGTGGAACTTCCTGGAATTTAAAAAACGGAGGTGTATTTTCCATCAAAGCTTTATTTATCGACATTGTAAAGTTTACTGCATTCAAAATGCCAAAAAGCCCTTTAGGTCAAAAGACAAATGAGTGAATATTGCATTTTGTAATTTTGTACAGTTTCTGCACCAAAAATAACATTTCATAATATACAGGACTGTTGCTACTGGTCACCAAGGTCATGGCCTTTCTTTTGCTTCTTTATATTTATGCAACGATTTTTTTAGCAACCTGACAACCCTTACTGTTGCTATGCCTGTCCTTACTCACACAAGAGATAAGCAGTTTACAGTGATAACAATGGCAGATTTAAGATCATTCTTAGTGATTTTTAAAACAATGGGTTGACAAAAGCAGTCTTCTTTTTTCTATTCTACTATCTTTGTTTTCTTTGGCTGAAGATATGTCAATGGCAGATTGTTATCAGCTTTAGCTCCATTATGTGGTTGAAAACACTCTCAGGTTGACTTCTCAGTGTTTCAAGCAGACATTTGTAAAAGGAGTCTTGAATATGCACTTGATAGCAACATACATGATATGATGCAACAAAGAAAAAAAAAAAGAGACTGACTGACTTTCAGCATTACAAGAGAAAAGGATTTTAGGAGATGTGTTAAACATAATATAACCTCAGGTAATGTTAATGAGTGTCAGCTTCACCAAATCCAGTAAAGAACGGAGATGCTAACATTAGCTCAAACTCCAATTGCAGTCTGGACCGGCAACCACAATATTACAATAAATACTACATGGATGTGCTTGTAGTGAACTGGGCCTTTTTTAACGTAACCCCAAACTAACTACATTAGTTTGTGCTCCTTGGCCAAGGAAGTAATGCACTGAAGGTCCAGTGTGTAACATTTAGGAGAATTTATTTGTAGAATTTGAATATAACATTCATAGGTATGTTTTTAATTAGTGTAAAATCACCAATTGTTGTGTTTTTGTAACCTTAGAAAGAGCTGTTTTTATCTACAGAGGTCCTCTTCTGCGGAGGCCACCATGTTGAACCGCCACATCTGCACTCGGACTCTGAACGGACCGGCTCTAGTTATGGCCCTTTCACATTTTTTGCAAGTTTCGCTGCCCTCATTGTAAAGCTCAACCTTCACCGCTAAATCCTAAACACCGGTCCTTCAAGATAGTGAAGTTGACGCTAGAGCAGAACACACTGTTTATTATGTATATTTGTGATTTTGGTTTTAGAAAGGCTAGAAAAAAGGACACCACCCTCTAAACTATAGCATAGTTCTTGCTATAGAGCCATATAAATCAAATAATTTACAGGCCTGCTGTGCCTATCAATGGTTGCTAAACTGTGATCGGGCAATCGCTGTTCGTTGGAGGGATTTAGCAAATAGTTAAAACCTTAAACATTGGGCTATTTTAGATTTGTGTCTCTTTAGACTCTTTATGGGGTCACCAAGTAATATAAAAAATGCTTTGAAACTGCATTTAGACCTTCATGTTGGGAAATAACATTTATTTGACGCTTAACTGAATTAGGAAAATATGAAAATAGTTCTAAAAATGAAGAGATTTTATTTTTAACCTGTGGTCAGAACTTGAGAGTGATGAGGCCTATGACTTCAGTATTTTCTAAAACCCTGGCTACAGCCAAGATTGTGTAATTTGAAGTGAAATTAGGCCTTATGGCGTGTTTGATGGCTGTGTATCTGATCACAAAACTGCAGTAGAATTAATAATCCTTCTATGTAAAATGGGTATGCTGGTGTGATACTTAATAAAAGCACTGATTTTCATCATGTTAATCCAGGCAGATGCACTATCTTGATTGTTTTGTTTTTTTTGTATGTAAAACATTTCAATATTGTTGACAGAAAAATAAATGCTTTTTTCAAGACTTCTGCCTCAGGATTGTGTATGCTGATGGTGATGACTAACACAAGAGAAGAGAGAAAAACCAAATTGTGTCATTAGTTCAGTGCATTTTTTGAGAACATGCTCCAGATCTTTTCCGTGGCCCCTCAGCTCTTTCTGCCCTGACAATGACCCAGGCCGGCCCCAGCTACCTGAAATCCCACTTTTCTTTTGAGCTCTAATTTCACTCACCGTGGGAAGTTGTAATTACCGCATTGGGTTACCACAAACGATCAGCTCTGAGCTGGTTGCTCTGTCCTGTTCTCAGAGGTATGAGTCCCGACCGGTAGATTCAGTAACTGAGGCCAGGAAATGACTGGGCAGAAAGTTGGAGTATCCATGGATGCCAATCTGGGAGTGTATTTCATCTAGATCAAGATCACAGATAAAGATCACTAGATTTACACAGGATGGAGACACACACGGAAGTGGGAAGTCCTTGTACTGTAGTTTTTTTACATATTTAAAAACATATTGTTACCTTAAAATAAAATGAGCATCACAGAGAACTAAATCAAGACATGGCAGATATACAAGAGAAATCTCAGTAAGAGTGTGCCGTACTAACAGCTGATCCGTACTTTAATGGATAAGGAGCATTACAAATACATACTAACATGGTATTAATTATGTCAGATGTTCTTTTACTGTTTTCTGTCAATAAAAGAGCCTTTGGGTGTCTTTGTTTATGAGGTAAATACAGACAGTCAGGCCTCGGGGCTGAGGCCGACAGCCCTGCTGCACATCACCAGAGCGCCATCTAGTGACGGATGCTTGTGGTGATGAATACGTGAATCTATTAGCAGTAAATGTAATAGATAAATACACTGCGAGGCTACTGCAGCTGAATGAGTGACAAGGATTCAGACAAAGAACAGGGAAGTCCACAGTGGTCACTTGTCCAGGCTCTGATGGAGGATAGATGGGTCCCCATAAATATCCTGTCAGGAGGAGAGCAAACAGAGTCAGAGGATATAAAACATGGCTGGAAAAGAGAGTCTGATTTACAATGCGCTGCTGTAACGATGTGAAAAACAAACAAAGTGAGCAGGGCACAGCGGCCAATGACAAAGGCTGAGAGCTGGGAGGGATGGACCCATCTGACGCTCTGTCTGCATCACACTGTAAAGATGCTTGGGCTGCTGTTATCACAGTCATTGTTGGCTGGAACAGTAAATAACAGTGAAAAGCCTCTGCTGTGCAATCAATCTGTGCAGGTTTTATTTGATTTTCTATGGCAGGTGCATTAGATCTACTTAGATAACAGGTACAAAGTACCGGAAAAGACATGTTAACAGAAATAGTGTGAATTTTTACCGACATGTTAATATTAAAAGATTGTTTTCTACGTTCTAAATATAAATATGATTTTATTTAACCAGGGAATGGCTTCACTGAGATGTTCTCAACAGAGAATGTGTCCATTGAATGACTAATAACCAACCTGCATGAGCGTAAACAATCATATTTGCTTGTTTTTGTCTTTTATAAAAGGAGAAAACATGTCAGACGAGGCAGAAAGTTTTACCCTTTTGATATATTTCTCATGTTTACTTCACATTCTGAATATTTCTTCATCTTATTAATATTCAGGGCTCTTGTTTTCGCTTTGGTTGTGCCACTGGGACTTTTTTCTTTTGTATCCAGGTTTTATGCGTACAGTGGGTCACTTGATGTCTCCTTCAAGGACTGGAGGTCTGCTGACAGACTTCATGTCTTTATTTTTTATCTTTTATACTTTATGTTGTTCCTTAAAAAAAACCTGATATAAACGAGATAGAATAAAACATAGAGGCTCCAAAACATATTACAGAAATACAATGAATTAGATAAAATGCTAAGAGAATAATAAAGATTCATTAAAAAAGGTGAAATCAGATTGGTATTTTCACTCTATTTCTCAGTGTTGATCTTGGACAGGAGACACTGTGTGTAAAACCAGCTGTAACTGTTTTATTATGGCCTCTAAAAATACCAACTGGAACAGTGAGTGTAAAAATCCATCAGTAAACTGAAAGAAAATGAATCTGCAACTATTTTGATCTATTTTAGAAACTCTTTTAAATCACTTTTCTTCTTTTAGATCCTTTTTTTTAATAACCTTATAACCTATTTGTCTCTGTATGTGTATTTTTGTGTATGCATGTTGATTTATATATGAAATAAATACAAAACATGTATTTTATTTAGTCCCTTTTTCCTTCTACAGAACTTTGTAATCTCTGGTTTAGTACTATATAAATAAACATATTTATTATCATTACTATCATATCAGCTATAATTGATTCATTCTTTAAGTTATTTTTTGTTTATTTTCTTATTTTTCTTTCAGCTTGTGATGGGCGTTTTTCATTGTTTTCTGAATCTGATTTATCAATTAATTTATGAAAACAATCTGCAGATTAATCAACAATTAAAATAATCATTAAGCCCACACCCATCAGGTGTTAAACTAATATTTTCTGACATTTACAGAGGCACATCAGCTGTGTAAAACTGTCTTATCGACTCCAAAGAATTTTCATTGAACAATAATCAATACTCATTAACACTGGGGAGTTTGCTGTGAGGAAAAGAATCACAGCACTGTGTGTAACTGTAGGTATGTATCTCTCGGGCTTCAGGTTCCCAGGTAATAAATTTAAGATGTTAATTTATGACGACACAACAGAGAGGTTTAAAATGAGTTCCAGAGGAAGAACTTTTCTTCTCAGGACAGCAGGACCAGGTGATACACCTGCCTTCACAGGTAAGACACATCTTTACATTTCTGTTGTAATAAAACATATATATCTCTATTAATGCATCAAGAGAAATTCCTGAAGATTTCTACATTATTTTTTATGTTTTTCAGGAATCTTCTGCTGTTACAACACAGAATAAACTCAGACATGACAGTTTCTTACACCCTTGAAGTGGCCAATGCGAGATTTGGTGGCTTCTCCAGGCTCCTGTTCCGGTGGAAGGGAAGCATCTACAGGCTGCTTTACAAAGAGCTTCTGGTGTTCTGTGGGGTTTATCTGTTTTTCAGTGTGTTTTACAGGTAAATTAACTGATTTCATCTTTACATTTCTTTGTGTGTTTGTGTCAGCTGAAGTTTTAATGTTCCTCACAGGTTCATGCTCACATCAAAGCAGCAGGATCTGTTTGAGCGCATCGCCCTTTACTGCGACCAGTTCACCAACACCAACTTCATCCCAGTTCTGTTTGTACTGGGTAAGTCTGATCAAATTGGCTTTATCTTACACAAGCCACATCTGAACATGAGTCACCTTAATTCATGTTTCCTTTTGCCCCAGGTTTTTATGTGACCCTGGCCTTTAACCGCTGGTGGGGTCAGTACACCAGCTTCCCCCTGCCTGATAACCTGATGATGGTGGTGTCTGGGAACGTCCACGGGGCGGACGAGAGGGGTCGTCTGCTGCGCCGAACACTCATGAGATACGCCAACTTATCTTCAGTCCTCATTCTACGCTCCATTAGCACAAGAGTTCACAAGCGTTTCCCAACTTTGGAGCACATAGTGGAGGCTGGTGAGAACAACAGTGGAGACATATTAAGAAAATTTTACTTGAGCATCTTTAAAAATGTTCAAATATGTGTAGAATATTGTTCTTTTTATTGTACTTCTCTAAAACTTGAAGCTCTTATTACTTTGTACAACATGGTTTTGCTTGTATAATGTACAGAAATTTAAATTATCCAGCAAACAGAAAACATTTAACAAAACACAAAGAGAGAATGACCTTCTTTACAAGTGATTGATTTAAATGTGTATAATTAACAGGGTTGGGAGAGTTACTTTAAAAGTGTAATCTGATACAATTACTAATTACCTGTTGAAAAAGTAGTCTGTAAACTTATCCAAGTATCAAAATATTAACTTGATTACTTTCCGTTACTTTTGGATCACCTCAACACAAAATATGAATATAAAGACAAAAGAGAAGAAGTATGAGTGGGAAGTATTGATGTAAGATAATTCAATAAGGCAGCTGAACAATGAAACCTATCAGGGAAACCAAAAATTTAAATTATAATCCCCATTTAACTGTCAAATACACTGATTAACATTCGCTTATCTGGAAATGTTATTATAATAAAAATAAACGTTATTTGTACAGCACAGAGTTACAAAGTGCTTTACAGAGCTGAACTGGTATTAAATCATGTTTGCAATGACACAAATAAAATCAAACTATGGGAGTAATATTACAATAAAAAGGAATAAAACAGATAAGGCTTGTTGGAGATAAAACAGTGTGCTAGCATTTAAAAAAAAAAAAAAGCTTTATTGTTACAGAGATACATTTTAAGAACTGATTTAAAAGATGTTACTGAATCCGCAGCCTCAGATCTTCAGGCAGGAGGTCCAGAGCTGAAGGGGTCCGGATTGTAAAAGCCTGCTCACTGTTAGTCTTGAGCCAGGAGCTCTGGGGCAATAAGGAAACAGCAATATATATATGTATATATATATATATTATAAATCTCCTCGTATCACAAACTGTCTAATCTGTGAGCAGGATTTATGACGACACACGAGCTGAAACATTTTGAGTCGCTACACTCGGATTTCAACAAGTACTGGATGCCTCTGACTTGGTTCTCAAATCTGGCGTCCAAAGCGAGAGAGGAGGGTCGGGTGAGGGATGACATCGCTCTGAGACTGCTGATGGATGTGAGTGCTGTATTTTTACTTATTATATATCTACAGTGTGGGAAATTAAATCCTAAATGTTTAATATGTATCTACAGGAGCTGAATAACTACAGAGCCAAGTGCAGCCTCCTGTTCCACTATGACTGGATAAGCATCCCTCTGGTCTACACGCAGGTAGAAACAAGAACTTGAAGCAGATTACAAGACAAAACTATGATCAGCAAAGTGTATTTTTACTGTATCTTAAAATACAGAAACACTTGACCACTTTTATACAAATAAATTCCAAAATTCATGACAAACAGACTTGATCTCGGCCTTGTTTTTATCTTTGCAGGTGGTCACTATAGCAGTTTACTCTTTCTTTGCCTTCTGCGTGATTGGACGACAATTTCTGAACCCTGAGAAGGGCTACAAGAACCACAACCTGGACCTGTACGTCCCTGTTTTCACCCTGATGCAGTTCTTCTTTTACACTGGCTGGCTCAAGGTCAGACGACACATTCAAGTTTCAAGATTTTCTTTTGATTTCATGAAAGAGTGATTTAATTTTCCTCTCTGTAGGTGGGGGAGCTGATCATCAATCCGTTTGGCGAGGACGATGACGACTTTGAAACCAACCAGCTGATTGACCGAAACATTCAGGTAATCCCCTCAATGCTTCTCTCCACTGCAGTTACACTCCCTAACACTTACATATGAATCCTTATCTGCTTTCTGCCTCCTGTAGGTGTCGATGCTGGCTGTAGATGATATGTACCAGAACCTGGCTCCAATTGTGAAGGACAAGCACTGGGCCCAGAGGCATTTCTCCATCCCTTACACTCTGTCCACAGCAGCAGAGACTCTCAGACCGGCCTTTAAAGGCTCCACCTTTGACATGAGGTATAGATTCAGCGTGTTTTATATGCTGCTGCATAGTCCAGTAAAATCCCAACCACTAGTAAGACTTGAGCTTAAAATGTCTGCGGTATTTGCAGGATGAGTGTGGAGGACCTGGAGATTCACCAGCCTGCAGACACTCCTGGGAAGAAACAGTATTTACCTCTTAAGGGCTCGTTGGGCGATGGTCTCGACAGTCTTCTGCAGAGGGGCAAAGGTATCCTGCGAGGTGGGAGCCTCCCCTCTCTGGTGGATGTCTCATCACACCCAAATGAGGAAGATGATGCCGATGCTTCGCCTGATTATGACATCAATGCCACCAACCACAAAGAAAGGACATTCATTAAAGTTGTAGTGGAATAAAACTAGTGAAAATTATTCATGAACCAGGAATGTTTTATTATGACTCATATTGTATTTGAATTAATAAGGAACGGACCAAAAACAGACAATTTTATGTACATATAAACATATTTTAAATACGGCAAATGGATAAATAAATATATATAGTTGTGTACTTTAAGGCAAATGTATACAAAATCAAACTAAACAACTAAGAATGGAAATGATAAATTAAAAAACAGGCATTTCCACTTAAAAACTTTAAAACAAGAATGATTTGAACAACTTTTATTGTATAAAATTATATAAATTGTGAAATAAAATGAAAATGAATGTGAGTATTCAGTGCTTTAACTTTTAATTTGTGAGAACACAGCATTGTCTAAACATGTTTGATCTTAAATTCATGGTGAGAGCACAGACATATCTTTTAAATGCTTCAAAATGATCTTTTGGTAGTCCAGTCATCCAAATTATGATTTGAATCAGTCTAATTTAATTTACCGTTATCGAGTACTTGTGATAAACACAGTAGTGTTCTCAGATATAAACAACTGTTTCCAGTCCAGTCATAGATTTTATATAAAGTCTGCAGGTGAACGGTGAAAGAAATACTCAAAATCTTTGCTTTAGTAAAAACAAAAATATCCCCTTTATGCAGAAATCCTTATATAGATTACATTCTTGGACTATCATTATTGATTAGTTAATCAAACAGTTAATGAATCATACTTCACATACTGCTGGCTGCTTTACTATACACTGGTACATCATATTTAATAAGATGATCGTATGATTTATAAGTAAACTTTAAACTTCATGTAACTAGTAACTATGGCTTTTAAATTAAAAAGTAAAAGGTCTTTCCTTCAAAGTGTAGTAGGGCACAGTCTAAAATTGGCAAAACCTCTGCAGACAATAGTAAATAACAGTATTCAGTCTACAGGGTCAGTGCTGTCTGCAGTGTGGGTGGTATTTTACTTCCACGTGGTCTGCCTGTACACCAATAAGAGCACAAAACAAAAGCTGTACTTTAATCTGCGCAATCAGCTTAAATCAATTATCTTCTAGCTAAAAATTTAAACACGTGGAATGAATGGATTTTATGAATCCAAAGTTCAGACTTTTATTTTGAAGTACGAACGACGGAAGTTCCAGAGGGTCAAAAGTGTCTTCTGGGCTTCCGCGTTGTCAGATATCCACAGAAATCCGCACCGATAGACGAGTTTAACATTTATAAGACTTGTCGGCAGCGAGGGTACGTTTACAGCCACTCTTTAAAGACATTACTCTGCCCGTTCAGCTCACCAAACGCTGTTTATCTCTTTAACTTCGCGTTTAAAATGAACGTGGCGGCTACAGCTACAGCTAGCGCGCTAACGTTAGCTAATGCTCCAGATACTTCTTCTCCCTCTGGCAGCGAAGTTTGTTCGCCGATAAGAGGATTTATTTTTATTCTTTTTATGTTTATTGACCTTTTTAGACTCTTACACACCCAGTGAAACAAAAAAGCTGGAGGTCAAATGAGCTCGTTGTATTGGTTGTTTATTGACTTCTCTCTTGTTTCTCACGAATATTCGCTTTTGTTTGTGTTTGTTTGTGTTTGTTTGTGTTTGTTTGGCAGCATCCCCTCGCAACCAGGCAGGAAAACAAAAGGCACGGAGCAGAGGTGTAATGTCAGCTGACGGCCCCCTGCTGCAGAGCTGCTGAGCTGCCTCCACCTTCACCTCCATCATCATCTTCATCACCACCATGTCTCTGGGCGACAACCCCCACCTGCTGCTCGGTAGGATCCGCTTCCTGAACCGGTGCATTGAGTGTTTCAAGAGGAGCGAGCCGGTGCCGGAGTGCCTGTGTTACGTCCCCAAGGAGGTGTGCTACAAGATCTGCAAGGACTCGTCGTCCACCTCCTCGGCCTCCTCCGGAGCGTCTGCAGGAGGCTCCACCGTCGGGAAAACGCTCATCTCCGTCTTTGAAACTCCACACCAGACTCCACAGATCAAGAAGCTGTGCAAGTACAACATTGAACCAAAGAAAGGGACGTGCATCCGGACAACCGGGGAGGAATACCGCAACAGCCAGGGCGTCTGGGTCAAAATCATTAAGGTAAGTGTCTCTGCATTACACTATCAATGTGTGTGTGTGTGTGTGTGTGTGTGTGTGTGTGTGTGTGTGTGTGTGTGTTGTTCATCGTTGTCATCCTTGTTATATCATCATGTTTACAGCATGTTGTCTAAATTATGTTTACATTGTTATTGCAGACACAGTAGTTGTGGAATTTGGGGACTTTTTCTGTCTTTCTTTTTTGAACAATACAGTTTTTTTTCTCTGAGCAAGAAGCTCCGGGGGTTCAAATCCAGCGTTTGTCTTTCTGTGTCAATGTTGTATGGGTTCATACCTGCAGTGCAAAGCTCTGTGGGAATTGGCAACCCTTCAGAAATGTACGCGGGTATGAATAAAAGTGCAGTAGTGAGTTTCTTTTATGTGAAAAATACAACTGATTCAGACCGCTGAGTTCACTGTAGAAGGTTTTTATTTGCACTAAATACGGCTGTAATCTTTTAAAGTTACCGTCCACATTAAAGCAGATCTTCAGTGTCACTCGGTGCAGTTTTCTTTACATCAGTTCCACAATACAGAAGATTGGGTGTGAGGTTAATAACCATGACTTATTTTAAATTTATGTCTGAAATGACAGCATCTTGCTGGGATTGAACCACCGACCCGCTGTACCTCTTGTCTGGTTCTTCTACAGGTTCAGTGCTTTCATTGACAGCATGATATCAGAGAGTCCCTCTAGTTCTAGGATGGTGTTTACTCCCTATTAATTAAGCTTGTGTGACTTTTAAATGTGGCGTAGGGTTTCACATGTTGATGTAACGATCCGTGTCTGCGTCCAGGAGCAGATGGACGAGCACCGTCCGGGCCTGGAGCTGGAGGAAGGCTGGATCCTGGTGTGTAAACACACAGAGGGAGGCGACAGGCTGGTGCCGGTGGAGTCCCCGGACACCGTCGGCAGACAACAGCAGCTCTTCGGCTACGACCACAAGCCCTGCAACCGGTGGGAGCAGGTGGTGAATGTGGAGAATGCGCTTTACATCGGCTCCAAACCCAAAATCGCTGAGCGTGACGACGCTGCCGTCCAGAAGCTGAGGTGAGCTCCTGTTTGCGTTGAGTTAAACCACGAGAGTCGCAGCCTTTTTGTGTTTTAGAGAGCCGCAGATTAAACTGATGTTCTCTCAAATCTTTAAGGTACGTCCCTCCCACCTGGGCGTACGAATGCGATGAGGACCTGGTGCACTACTTCTATGACCACATAGGGAAAGAGGATGAGAACCTGGGGAGCGTGAAGCAGTGTGTGACCAGCATCGATGTTTCTTCATTTTCTGTGAGTCACACACACACACACACGCAGCAAGGGATGTGGAGATTAAAAATCCAGTGATTCTGCTGTTATGTACATTTTCTAGTCAAATAAAGCTGCATGAGTATTAAAAGCATTAAGCATTTGGTCTGTTTATCATCTGCTTTTTCACCTTGATGAAAAGAAAGAAATAGTACATTTATGACTGTAACATTGAGCAGTATGTAAAATGTAATTATAAATGTATGCAATTTGTCAGTGATCGATTTACGTTGATATTTACTGATAGGAAGATCCAAGTAGAGGGGTGAGCTGTCTGACGGACGGCGACATTGGAACTTTCTGGGAGAGCGACGGCGTGCAGGGACAACACTGGATCCGCCTGCACATGAAGAAAGGCACTGTGGTCAAGTAAGGAGCTCAGCAACAAAGTTAATTTAAAAAAACAAACAGTAGTTATAACACTGCATGGACTTTTGCCATGTGGTGTGTAGACGCACACTCTCAGACCACAGTGTGAGTAGGAGCTGACGCTGCTTCCAATTACAGACGGTAATTAACTCACACACGGTCGCTGAAGTGACAGGATTGCATTCATATGAGTCAGGGGAAATGATGTTTGATGTGGTACCACACCCACATTTTGCTGTATTACGAGGGGAATAACTCATGGTCGCTCACACAGTATATGTGCATCATATCATGCTTGCTTAAAGATGCAAAGTATCTCATATGAACTTTTATCTTGTTGATAAATAGTGGACTTGCTTTGTTTGTACGTATGATGTGCTTGTTTTTGCTCCCCAGTAGGCTCATATTGACGGTGGACTCTACAGACGACAACTACATGCCCAAGCGAGTCACAGTGTTTGGAGGAAAGGGAGACAACCTGAAGAAGCTGAGTGCCGTCACTATAGACGAGTGAGCATTTTCAAAAAGGATTGTGTCAACATGTTTCACAGATATGCTTCATATTACAGTACAGGAGCTTTAGAAGGAAGACTAAAGCCACCAGTTTTGTATTAAAGTCATTGTCAGACAATGTTTTGTGTCAGTATTTAATATTTAAAACAGCTTTTTAAGACAGGATGACCTACACAATCATATGATAATTAACTACCGTATGATATTAATTATTGCATTAAACGAATTAGAAAACATATAATAAAAGGAGAGTGTTATAATATTTATACTCAGAAAGGAATCTCCGTATTATTACAGCAGACAATATTGGATGTTTAATAGAAGACCAATACCTGATATATTGTTTTAACCGTGTTAATAACGTGATGCTGTGCTGAAGAATCAGAATCTATTTTCTCTTGATAAAAGTAGAGAAATTAAAGTGTAATATGTAATAATGAAGCATATCTGCCTGCTGCACTGAGCCATTTCTTCTGTAGGAAGCTGACAAATACCAGGAGTTTACATATTTTATATATATATTTTTTTTTTTTTTTGCTTCTAGCAACCTGACTGGAGAAGTATGTGTGCTGGAGGATATGACGTCTCACCTGCCTATAATTGAGATTCGAATTGAGGAATGTAGAGGTAAGGCCTTTTAACATGTTTCAATATTTATTTAACCATATATTTTGTCTTTTCGACCTCCAACATTATTCGTTTGTTTTTTTCTCTCCATTTGGCCCTACAGATGAGGGGATAGACGTCCGGATCCGGGGCTTGAAGATCAAGTCGTCATGTGAAAGAAACCTGGGTCTGAACGCTGATGTTTTCCAGTCCTCTAACCTGGTGCGCTACCCCCGTTTGCAGGGCAACACGCCCGACATCCTGTACCGCAGAGCCCTGGTCATCCAGAGGTAGGTCAGCGTTTATTTTACTGCCAGGGTTCTCACAGTCACAGGAAATATTAAATCTGTTGAACTTAACCGTGATGTCTTTTGTGAAGCTTTTGTAAAGAAAATGTGTCGAGGTTTCAGAAATGTTGTCTTATCAATCAGTGTCGTGTTTACA